CATCTATTTTACATTATCTTTATAGCCATCATGATAGAAGATCTGTTCCAGGAATGAGCCACCATGCCAGATTCTCTAGGCAGTTAGTGGGGGAGGTCAAATATCCTTATTGTCTTCAGCTCGAAATAATCCGCATACCAGAGTGGTGCTTCCTGGGGCAGCTTGCCCTGAGCACCATCACAGGGTAAAGGCAACTCTTTTACTGGCAGCGGCAAAACTGTGCAGCAGCCCCTCAAAGATCGTCGTGCCCACCAACACCGGCAGCGTCGTTCTGCGGCAATGTGCTCCACCAACAGGGGACTTTTCACTTTTGTTTTGCGCTGACAGCTGGACATCAGCTCTCGGTTGGTCACACCATCTCTCCCAAGTGTCTACTTGTATAAAAAGGTACACCTTGAACTAAATGTGGACTTTGTTCCTGTCATCTCCGCCTGCCTGGAACAATAGTGCGATTAATCTATCATTATTTTGGAGTATGTTATGTTATTTCTTTATTGGCTTATTGAGAGACATTATCCTGTATGCTATTGGCCTATGAAACTATTATATCCCACAGTGAACCTGTGTGAAATAAAATATTGGCAAAGACAGTCTCAGTCTCTGAACATAATTTGCCCCCCAAAACAAAACAGTTTCCTATTGCAACGCAGTTTTAAAATGAGTTTCCTTTGTTGCTACCCCTCAGTCGCTACTACATAGCATTCTGGAGGCACCTCTAACAAAGGGACTCTGAAATCATCTGTGCCAGACGGGAGTCCTGTATCCATCACGTGGGTGGGTGGGTGGGGGATCTCAGGGCTGAACTTACTCACCTTGACTTACACCCCCAGCGCTGCATTGAACGAATGAAATCCCAATAAAGAGAGAGGCTCTACCACAAGACCAGCAGACATGATCTGGTCCCTCCCAGATGTCATCTCCAACTCTCCCTCTGGATCACTGAGCTTCAGCCACCCTGGCTTTCTCTTTGTCCCTCAGATATGTCAAACCCATTTCTGCCTTAGAGTCTTTGCATTTTCTGCTTCCTCAGCCTAGGATGTTCTCCCACCTCCAGCAAATAAAGCTCCTTCTTATGGAAATTAATAAAAGAAACCTTAAGTAAATTGGAGTCGGGAAGGCCTGTAGGGGGAGCTCTCACATCCTATCCCACATTGTCAATTACACAAACTGGGAAAAGACAGCCCTTGCATCTTTGTCAGGAAGTAAAACTACTACTGAAGGAGGGCGTCTCTCCCCATGGGGCAACAGCCCAGCCAATGAGACACAGCAGCTCAGCCAATGAGAAGCCGTTACTGCCCTGGCTGCTGCTTTCCCCCAAGGGACCTTCCTTTAGAACAGCCCCTCCTTCCCCCTCTTTCTCTATAAAAGCAGCTCCTCTCCTTTGTTTTCTGGATTTGCCTATGGTTCACCATAGCATGCTCATCTCGAATTGTAATTCCTTTGGATATTCCCAAATAATCTCATTTTGAGATAAAATAACAGGCAAATTTGCTGTTTAAGTTGACATTGTCAACCAGGTATTGGCTTAAGAGGTACCTTCTTACAGAACTTTTTTCTGTCTACCCAGAATGAAGTAGCCCCATCTTCACCACCTCACAGGTGTTCTGGTTCCTTCATGACATATTTGTTGCTATTTGCCATTATATTCAATAGTTACTGATTTACTTCTTTATTGTCTGTGCCTGCCTCCCCTGTAACCACCACCAAAATGTGAGCTCCATGAGGGAAGGACTTCATCATTCTAGCTCACGGCTCTATCCCCAGAGTCCATCACAGTGCCTGGCTCATAGTAGGTGCATATGAATGAATGAATGAGTGAATGAGTGATTCAAACATGTCACAAATTACCAGGATATATATTACTGTAACTTGCTTCCTGTCTTGGCCCCATGTGACAGGCTGGGATCTCAAATCCTTTTCCTTCTTACCCTGCTCATCCAGAGTCACTCATACACTCAAGAAACCTATAGTGAGGCCCATGTGGGGAGGAACTGCTTTAACTTTTGTTAGCACCTTTGTTTTATTTTCTTGGAGCTCATTTTTCATTTTTTCCTATTCCTTAAGTCGTACATTTAATTCATTTATCTTTTGTT